GTCTCGAACCCACGGACTCAGGCAATCCACTCACCTCGGCCTCCCAAAGTGCTGAGATTACAGGCTGAGCCACTGAGCCCGGCCGGGGCTTTTATTTTTAATTATTTCCCCAACACCATGAAATTTGCCCATTATGTCTACTGTTGATCATATCTCTCCCTCTAGAAGGTAAGTTTCATGTGGGCAAGATTCCATGTCTGGTTTTGTTTGTCGATAGTTAAAATTATATACAGGATGCCCAAAAAATGTATACACATTTTAAGAGATGTTATCTGGGCTGGACGCGGTGGCTCAAGCCTGTAATCCCAGCACTCTGGGAGGTCGAGGTAAGAGAATTGCCTGAGCCCAGGGGTTCGAGACCAGCCTGGACAACTTGGTGAGACCTCGTCTCTATCTATAAATCAAAAATTTAGCCGGGCAAGGTAGTGGGCGCCTGTGGTTCCAGCTACTTGGAAGGCTGAAGTAGAAGGATCCTGAGCCCAGCAGGTCGAGGCTATGGTGGCCATGAGCATGCCACTGCACTCCAGCCTGGGCGACAGAGTGAGATTTTGCCTCAAAAATTAAAATTAAAAAAAAAGAGAGAGTGATGTTATCTATGCATTACTTTTCAAAGTTGAATTAAATTATGATAGCAATGTGTGGCTACGATAGCCACGTGTGGTATGACGTTTGCTCAGCCGTGCTTCCACCATTTTATTTGACTGTCCTGGCTGTTGCATGGTGACGCTAGCATTCATTTGATTAATGCCACCTTTTGAACAAAGGTTATACTTAGTATGTGTACATTTTCTTGGCACCCCCTGTATATGGCTTGCATTGTGTCAAAGCCAACTAAAACACAGAGATACAGAGACAAGTCTCTAAAACGCTGTACTTGGGAAGCAAGGATTGCAATTTGGTATGTATGAAGAACAAAGAGAAAGTTAGAGGTTTTATTAAAAAGAGAAAGGTTAAGTATCGTTTGGTAGGAAAGTTCTGGGGAACTGGCAAGTTCAGACTGGTGACAGCAGTGGGTAAAACTAGTTTGACAGTCACATCAGATAGTTTCCGCAGCAGTGAAACGGGCTTCAGGTTACGGCCACAGTTTCTGCAGTCAAGCTTGAAGAGAATGACCTTCTTAAAGCAATGTTATGTGCCCTGACTGCTTTTCCCCATTGCCTCAGCCTGTGCTTTTGTTGAGCATGACAAGAGTGACCCAGTTGAGTAACAAGAAAGACCCAACTTTCAAAATGGTATTTTTATTGGACAGAGCTGATCTAAAAGTTAAAAACCAGGAATTCTGGAGCTAGATTGGCTGGATTCAAATCCCAGTTGCGTCACCTGCTAGCAAGTAACCGATGGGCAAGTCACTTGGCCTCTGCAGGTCTCAGTTTTCTCACCTGTGAAGTGCACCCAAAACGGTGCCTACTTCACGAGGTTGCTAGTAAAACGATCCGTAAATATTGGCTGGCATTATTGGTTGGAGCACTCATTTCTGGCTGCTAGAGCCCATTTTTTCTCTCGTGAAAGGAAGATAACCACGCCGGGCCTTAAAGGTGATGGAAATTTCTCAACGGGCTAACGGATAGGAGGCCTCCTGCCCGGAAGCTTGACCAAAATAACTACGGTTGCTGCTCGGCGGCGCCAGGCGTCCCCTTGCCGTTTTAGGGACATTCCAAGGGGGCTGCCCGGCGCGGGCGGCGGCGAGTGGCAGATCGTGGATCCCGGCCGCGGGAAGCAGGTAGGATAAGGAAGGAGAGGAGGGGCGCGGGTCGGAGAAGCTGCTG